AATCAGATTATTAATTTTAAAATGTTATTTAAAAAGCATTGAATAAAATCAAATTTAAAAATTAACGTAAATCGAAAGTCCCTGTCGGAGATTGAGGAAATTATTTTCGCTCCATCAAAATCATCAAGAATTACTCAACAATCATTGAGACACTTACGGAATAACAATGAGTTTAATTATCGTAACCTCGTCGTCAAGAAAGTCAGATTATCAGTTTAAAAATATTATTTAAAAAGTATTAAATAGAATCAAATTTAAAAATCAACGTAAATCGAAAGTCCCTGTCAGAGATTGAGGAAATTATTTTCGCTCCACCAAAATCATGAAAAATTACTCAACAATTATTAAGACACTCGCGGGATAAACAATGAGTTTAATTATCGTAACTTCGTCGTCAAGAAAGTCAGATTATCAGTTTGAAAATATTATTTAAAAGGTATTGAATAATGGCGTCTCGATATATTGTGATTAAACGGGTCGCTATTTCCTCCGTTTCTTACAATGTTTGAGTTTTATTGACAGTATTGAATATATTATAAGTGCGACATGAATATCGCACGCACTTCGACGTGTGCACGGAGCAACCTTCCTCTATATGTGAATTTCTTTTTCCTTTTATCGAGCCAAGGCGAGGTGGAATTCCGACGATTCCTTTTTTCCTTCCGCTGACAACACTATCGTGATACGCTTCCACGTGTAAAGAAACAGATGTTTCATATCTCAAAGTTTTCTAGTGCGCTTTAATGCCGCGATATATTTCAGGAATGCGACTACTCCTTTTTTTTATCGTAAATGTGTTAATAATGCATGTCTTGCATTTTTATTCCGCGAATACCCTGCCATTATTATCGCGCTGCCGTTTCTGCGGGAATGTTAACTATCTGATTAATCCAATTAATCTTTAATACGAGCTCGGTAATTGAATGTGCAAACTTTAATGGTACAAAACTCAAATAGACATTGTTGAAGCACATTAGAGCCTATTAATTGAGAGCAAAATTGTCCCGATTACTTTTATATTATTACTGCAAAGAAATTATAAGTATTAATTATTTATTAAGGATAACGACTGGGGCAACCATTGAGTTATTCATTGAGTAAAGATAGATTTATCCAATAGTTTTAACCAATTACTGGCAGCCTCGCTTAAATTTTCAAGATCATTAGGGTCGTTTATCTTACAACAAATGTCTGCTTTTCAGTGCTATATCACCTTGATATCGGCAATTATTTTAGAGCGAATGGATTCGCGGCTATGTATTATAACTTGTCCACCAAAGAGCTGCCCTGGGATTAAGGGCCTTTGGTTTCTTTAGATTTTTCTCTATAGCGACATCTTAGGAAATAATAAGTAGAATGATTTCCCGTCTTCAACAACAGGCAGATATAGAAACAGACATTTTTGCATCCCTAAATAAACCGCTAAATATAAGATAATTTTCGGGAATGTTTTTTAAAGAAACGGTTCAACAGATTTATTTGAATTTTTTTAGTGCACTTTGTACTACATTTGAAACATACAAAACTATTTCTTTTATTTAAAAATCCTTTTCTCCCTTGGAGCCGAAGAATCAAATTCTCTATAGTGACCGCGTTCAAATTAATAATCGGCGTGCAGCGTAGAGCCTTCTGGTTTTATTCCAGACCAAGAAATGAAAGTAATTCACTTTTTTAATAATATTACAGTGTAATATTATTATTATGCAAAAAAAATTGATTTTTTTGACCCGTTACATGAGTCTCCCTCCTCAAACAATGCAGTCTTACGTAATACATAATAATTGTGCATATGTAAAAAAACATCGTTCAAATAGAGATTGTTAGTAAAATTGATTTATTGAGCATTGCACTAAGAAAATAATTTTTTTCCAAAATAAAGTAACGATATTTCGACATCGATTTCATATCGAATTTCTTTACACACTTCTTATACAAATCTTATCACAAAGATTATTGCTTGTGCAAAATACCAAGAATTTATATAAAGTACTCGTAATTAATTAATCTACGATAATAAAAGAAATGCCATACAGACAGAATTTTCTCTTAAAGTTGATCCTGAAAATTTTATAATCGTGAGACAACACGTCATTTTAAAGAACTTTATGAGATTTTTGAAATTTGAACTTTTGAAATTTTGCCATACATTTTATTAGTAAAATATGTACAAAGTCTAATTACTAGTGAAATGTGTGGTAAAATTTCAAAAACTCTCAGAAAATTCTTTAAAATGCCGTGTTGTTCCACGATTATAAAATTTTCAGGATAAATTTTACAAGAAAATTCTCTCCTGTCGAAACGCGGAGAGAAACGATAGTCCAGTGAGAAACGGCATGCGTATTTTTGTAAAACAATAACTAATTATTTTTGCTTTCACAATAACATAATATAAATAGTAAAAATTCACAAACAATTAATTATACGTTTATTCGAAAATAATCGGTTCTTATTTTATCTTATCGTCTACACTGTGAAACTTTCAAGGAGCAAGATTTTGCCCTCTAAAGTATTAAAATGTGTCTATCTATTATCTATAAATTTGTTAACAAATATATGTTTATTAATTTTTATTCCAAATTGAATTTCAGATTTTTGCTAGTCGCACGAAGCAAGGAGTCACAATTTCCGCGGACATTTGAAAATGGGTACTTTGCAGCAGCAATCGATTTTAAAAGGTCAGACGGAAAGGAACCGGGAGAAAGATTTAGTGCATGAATTATTCAGTCGTGCGGCAAAGGCCCTTCCAAGTCAAACCGCGATATATTACGAAGGTAAGGCTTTGCTACTTGAAATAAAATGTACCAGAAATCACACGGCGAAAGTGGTCGAACGTGATTTTTGACAATTTACCTAACCAGCTGTTATAAATAATGTGGGCGTGTCGAAAGAAAATCTACACCGAAACATTGTTGGAAACCCAATATAGATGACGCCGGCCGGGAATACGAATTGTCTTTCAAAGAACTGGACGACATCACGAATCAGTTGGCGCGAGCTTTACGAAAGTACGAGAAGATTGAAGCAACTTCTCAGTCATTAATAGCTGTCTGCATGAAGCCGACGCATCGGCTCCCAACTGTATTACTTGCTATACTGAAAGCGGGAATGGCGTATCTGCCATTGGACGCGGAATTTCCGATGTCTAGAGTGAAACACATTCTCGAGGAAGCGCAGCCATTACTGGTAATGGTCGAAGAAGGAGGTACACATCCTTTCTCTTACATACAAATGGTATAAAATTAATGTCGTAAAAAATTTTAGACCGTTCGATCTCTACATTTAATGTTATATAATTTTCTATTTCAGCCTTTTATTATTTGTCTATTTCTTATTCCAACTTTATTGTTTATGCACTTTTAGCGCTAGATTTGTCTGAAAGATAGAAGAATCAATTAAACGAGTGTTCCAATGTTTCCACAATACTGTAATAATTTTCGTTAATTTCTAAGATGAAATATTAGCAGTAATTTTCATCTCTGATTAATCTCAGGATTCTATAATGAAAATGTCATTTCGACAGTAATCAAGACATTATTTTCATTTCATTTACATTGACTTCAATTTGTACGAGATTACTAAAATTTCGCACACAAAATCTCACAATCTCATTATATAAAGATATTTTAACGTTGCGGTGAATTAAATCAAAACTGATGCTATCAAACTTACACGCCACTAATTTGAGCGTAGCATGAGATAAAACATTCGATAATCGTAAGATATCCACGCAATGATTCTTTCTTACCACAATTATGGGTTTTTTCCGCGCAAGGTCGTGTATATACATAGATCTATTAACAACCTAGTTCTTGCTAACGAGATGAATTGTATTACTTTGACAGAGAATGGTGGATCGTTTCAAAATAATTTGCAGAACGCGGATAGATTTTATTATTCCCTCGGCTATAAATAAACAGCCTTCAGCTGTAAATAAATGCGCGAAAGAACCTTGGGTTTTTTACGCTTCATTTTTTACTGGACTTACTTAATTGAAGATGACAGAATTAATATTTCTTCCGCTTCCATTTATCTCCTCCGTGCGAACAATCGAGTGAAATTGTGGTTCCGTTTCCAGCGGATTTGTCAATTTACGACGGGGCCTCGGCGGTAACGTACGAACAACTTTTAGAAGAGGCTAAACAGGAACAAAGAGGTGCATTGCAAACTAAGGAAGGTTCGAATCAACTTGCTATTGTTCTTTACACTTCCGGAAGTACAGGAGTTCCCAAAGGTAACAGCACATTTTGCATCAATTACATAGCACAACGTGTAATAGAAAGTACACTTTAACTTGTACGCGCTCGTTTTCATTCGTCACAAATTGAGGCTATTTAATTTGACAACACCGTATTCTCATTTTTTTACAATGTTCACGTATGGCAAATAAAAGCTGTATTTCTGTTGTGAAAGGATATTAGTTCTGGTTTAACTTGTAGAAAAATTAAGCTAAAAGAGCAACTTAGGAATTTGTAGTCGATAGAAGAGTAAAACTTGAGAAAACAGTTGTTTGAAAATATGCACATTTAACTTTTTAAAGGGGTCCTCATACCGCACGCTACTCTACTGAATCGTCTACAATGGCAGTGGAGGGAACTCCCGTACGCCGATGATGAGAAACGATGTGTTTTCAAAACCTCCCTCACTTTCGTCGATAGCGTTCCCGAAATTTGGGGGCCTCTTTTGCAAAGTCGTGCCCTAGTCATTGTCCCGAAAAGCGTGACTAAAGACCCGGAGAAGTTTATACCGCTCTTAGAAAAACATCAGGTAAAAACTCATTTACCGTGCATGATTGTAAAAATATTTTAGAAATGTAAAAAGCTTTGATATTTGTTAAGGAGATTATTATAAGTAGAAAACTTTTTGTTTTTACAATCAATGGTACAAAGATACGATTGGTTACTATAATTTTAACATGATACAATTGATAAAAAATTCCAATAGTTTCAAAGTAAACTAAACGAATATTGGCTGAAAAATTTTCAATAAAGTTGTCTAGAAACTTTACGGAATCTTCTGCCATCTGTTGCCTAATGTAATATTCGAGTCACGTGGATCACGTACGCGCAGTGTTGTGCATAGATGATTTTAAAATTAGCTAGATAAAGATAAGATAAAAATATATAAATTTATCTTAGATAAGATAAAGATGATTTCGTTTTTAATATATCTAGATAAAAGATAAAATCATATGATGATTTATCTAGATAATTTGCAGATAATATTTTTAAGACTTTATGTAAACACAGTAGAAAAAGTTATTTAAAAAATTATAGAAAAATTTAAATTATAAAGGAGGATATAGAATATATTCAGGTTAAGTTATATGACACACACATAAATGCATGGTCCACAACGCCATCCATATTTAAATAGTGTAACTGTTAAGTATTTTTGTGGCTAACCTTATGTGGCCCTAAACCAAATTATCTGTACGTTATCATAGATAATTTAGTAAAAATAACACTTTCTTTCATCTAAGGTGCAGATATAGATAATACTTATTTTTATTATCTATATAAAGATAAGATATCGCTAAAATTTCATCTAGATAATCATCTATATAATTTTATTTAGATAACAGCAAACACTGCGAACGCGTGATACAATTTTATGACAGAAGGAACAATCGTTTATGTTTCAGATACAACGTTTAGTCCTTGTGCCATCGTTGCTGCATTCATTGCTCATGTATCTAGGCTTGCGAGTGAGTATGCAAAGTTATATTCCACGTGTAAGTTATTGCCTTAACAAGACAGGCGAACCTGTTATTATTACGTAAATTTCTTGGGAATTTTAATCTTGATTTTACGCAATATTACACGAAAGGTTGAGAATAACGTGCTTTCCCTTTAGTCCCTGACCATTAAAATTGTTGTTAATATCTCATAACGATGAGAATAATTCACCGTACGTGAAACGTAATCGACGATAAGACGTAAGACGTAGTGATGCTTTTCCTTTAACGCTCGCGCGAAGATCTCGAATAGCCTTGTACTTTTAGCATTTCAATATTAGCTCGAAAACGTTAGATACTTTACTCGTCACGCTCAAGCAAAATGCAGAATGCGTGTGCGAACTGATACACATAATACGCTTTCACGATTCGGTGACTTCCAAACTGACGTGTCTTAATTGAGGTTTCGTCACATATCAGTCTATTAAATTGCTCGTAAATTAACGCAACGCGGATTACAAGCACTCGATTAAATATGTAATTAGCGAAAGTCACGCTGTCGGGATATCCGTTAACAAGGATAATTAATAATTAATAGACCGCGCTTATTATGCTAAACGGCTTGGACAATTTTTACAACGTTATCTTTACACTCCATCCTTCTTCGGTTACATTGAAACGTGACGTGTGAGCATAATTTTTGTACAATGTTACCGCAACTCGCGTCACCCGAGACACCGTTGTAATTTATGCGATAAGAATACGCGCCGCTTTGCCAACACCTTGGATTTAATATGCGGCCTGTCGTCGCTCTGCGCAGGATAACGACAGCGTACTCGATCGCTTGAAACTCTGGATCTGCTCCGGGGAGACTTTGTCGGTCGCGCTGGCCGACCAATTTCTCGCCACGTTCGACAACAAGGGCAAGATATTGGCTAATTTCTACGGTAGCACGGAAGTCATGGGCGACGTTACGTATTACCTATTAAGCAAACGGGCGCAATTGCAGGGGATGGAGAAAGTGCCAATCGGTAAGACTAATGAAATAATGAAGCTAAACATGTGCTACGAAAAACCGAGATGATAAAATAGTTGACGAGACGACAACGCGAGAGAAGCACGTCGGCATTTATTAATTAATTCTAAGCTAATAAACTAAAAAAACTTTGTCCATTTCAGTGAAATAATATTATCAATAAATGAACAACATTTACGTGGCTCGCCGTGTCTTTGTTGCAGGAAAGCCGGTCGACAACTGCATAATTTATCTCGTGAATAAGGACATGCGATTGATCCCCCAAGGAGAAGTCGGAGAGCTGATCGTGGCCGGAAGGAACCTCGCCGCGGGTTATATACGCGGACGAGACGCACGTAAATTTTTGGACAATCCTCACGCCATTGATCCAGGTGAGAAAAGAAAATAGCGTAACAAGTAAGATCGACTGCCACGTCTCTCCAACTTGAAGGATTCACCGCGACGCGTAAATCCTTCCCTAATCTCGGTTTCTCTTGCGAGCAAGAACGTCACGAGTATTTTTAGAGTAACGACTTTATTACGCATTTAAAAGTGCGTTGATGTCCGCAGAATATTCGAGGATCTTCCGCACGGGCGACTACGCTAAAATTGTCAAAGGGTCGATAATTTTCGAAGGACGAGTGGATTCGCAGATAAAAATTAGGGGCCACCGAGTCGACCTCACGGAAGTCGAAAAGGTGGTCGCCAGGATACCCAATATTGACAAGGTCGTCGTACTGTGTCACAAACCCGGCGAACTGTCGCAGGTAAATTATTTCAATATACCTAATTATGTCAAAATTCACGAAACATAATTATTTGAAAATCTCCCCTCAATACCTAAACGCCTTATTGTTAGAGAGCTGATCATATATCAGTCTTCCCGGTCGCTTTAAAATTACAAAGCAATCTTTAATATTTTTAGTTCCTCGTAAGCCAGGATTTATGTGTGTGTGTGTGTGTGTGTGTGTGTGTGTGTGTGTGTGTGTGTGTGAAAGTAGACAAAGAAAAAATCAAAGTAATTTATCAATTGATTATCGATGCTTCAAAAATTGAATAGCTTCTTCTACTGAACAAACTGTTCTACCGCTACAGTTTCATGATATTTGAAAACGTTTCGTCGACAACTTGCATTGTCCGTGCATTCTACAGATATCAATATAGAGGCATCTTATGCATATAAGTTACTGAAGGCACCAATATTAAAAATGATTATAAAAGATGAATCGATATCCCGATTTAGTATATTAATTTGCGCATGAATAATTCTGCATTTTCAGGCATTAATAGCTTTCGTTACCATCGCGAATGGCTCGATCCTACCGAGCTTGGAAATAGAAAATTTTCTTCAGAGGACACTACCGCTGTATATGTTGCCACAAATTTTTATTGTCGACCACATACCACTTCTAACCAATGGAAAAACAGATCGACAGACATTGCTGAGGAAATACGAATCGTCTTGCTCTAATGACGGTATGTGAAATTATTGATTTTAAATCATTCCATCAAGTGAAATGACACGTACACATCGCGACACCACTTTGAGACATTAAGTAACACGTTGAAATATTAATTACTTTATTAGTTTTATCTTTTCGTTTTAAAATGTAACTCTGTAACATGTAACTCTTATCTCTTACATAATAATTGAGACTTGTGAGTTGCAAGACTATGTAAAGCTACGAAACTATGTTGCTAATCTGTTAAGAAATCAATTTATGAATATTTATTACTTTCCTTTCTATTTTAACACGTATCGCTCCACACGTCTCGCGTGAGATCATAATAGACTAATCGTTCTAATCTTTTCTATGATGTAAGTTAATAGCGAATGTAAAATCGAAAGGAATTCATTTGGTTTCGTATCTAATTTTTTACTGAGTAATAAATTTTTCATTAAGTTCTTATTAAATTCCGTGCATTATCTAAGCAACGATTGCTCCAAAAAGATTTTTCCTTGTTAAGAATAAATTAAAAAATTACAATCTTTTTCGCAAAAACTACCCGTGAAAAAAAAATTAATATAA